TTCTCAATAAAGGCCTCAAAATCATGGTTATTTAAACAATGGTGACTTGATACAACAAACGGGCATATCAATAAATTGATATTGGAGAAGGAATAAAGGTAAATGGAATTTCTGATGCCACAAATAGTGAAATTGTTTTACTTGTATTCAAGACTTGGAGTGAGGAGAAATTCATGGCATTTCCCTAGACGATATGGGTGTGAATTTTTGGGTATCCCATTCCATGATCTTACAAACTATTGATTTAATTGAATAAATAGATCCCAATATTTAGGGTAAAGTTGTACTATTAAAAAGTTGCACAGTTGGCCTTACCGAAAAAGAAAATTACTATTTTACCCTTTAATTAAAGGGCCTTGTTTTAATTCTTTATTAATTTCTATTGTTGATGTGTAAAAAAAATCTCAAAAGCCAATATAAATTGAACAGCAGACCGCCTTATCACAACCAACATCTAAGTCCCAACCTCATCATCTCCCCCGTGTTGTTTTAGCACCAAACCAGTGTCACGCGACAAAAATCATCAATTGGTTTGTTTGCTAATTACTCTACCATTGATGCCAAGTAACAGTCACATAGTGTAACGACCCACTCTACCACATGGTATGTTCGCTTTGGGCCTGAGCCCGCATGGTTTTGCTCTTGGGCTTTACCCCAAAAAAACCTCATACCAATTGGAGTGATACACATACGCATAAGCACTTCACCTTTCCCTTTCCCAGGCGATGTGGGATTGTGCACCCGTAACTCGTTAGTGTGGTAGCCTGTCAATGTCTCGCACCCGCACGGCACACCTACCTATAGGGTCATCACAATCCACCCCCTTTAGACGCCCGACGTCCCCGTCGGCACACTTCCGGCTAAGTTAGGCTCTGATACCATTTGTAACGACCCACTCCACTACATGGTATAATATTATCCGCTTTGGGCCTAAGCCCATACGAAAGTGTGCCGACGAGGACGTCGAGCCTCCAAGAGGGGGGGATTGTGATGACCCTATGGACGGGTGTGCCGTGGGTAGGTGTGAGACACTGACAGGCTACCACACTGGCGAGCTACTGGTGCACAATCCCACATCGCCTGAGAAAGGGAAAGGTAAAGTGCTTATATGTAAGTGTGTCATCTCCAATTTGTATGAGGCATTTTGGGGTAAAGCCTAAAAGCAAAACCTTGCGGGCTCAGGCCCAAAGTGAATACTATCATACCATGTGGTGAAGTGGGTCGTTACAAATGGTATCAGAGCTTGACCCAGCCGGAAGTGTGCCGACGGGGATGTCGGGCCTCCAAAGGGGGTGGATTGTGATGACCTTATGGGCGGGTGTGTCGTGGGCAGGTGCGAGACACTGACAGGCTACCACACTGACGAGCTACAAGTGCACAATCCCACATCGTCTGAGAAAGGGAAAGGTGGAGTGCTTATATTTAGGTGTGTCACTCCAATTGGTATGAGGCCTTTTGGGGTAAAGCCAAAGACCAAAATCATGCGGGCTCAGGCCCAAAGCAGACATTATTATACTATGTGGTGGAATGGGTCGTTACAAATGGTATCAGAGCCTAACCCAGCCAGAAGTGTGCCGACGGGGAGGCCGGGCCTCCAAGGGGGGTGGATTGTGATGACCCTGTAGGCGGGTGTGCCGTGGGCGTGTGCGAGACACTCACATGCTACCACACTGGCGAGTTACGGGTGCACAATCCCACATTGCCTCGGAAAGGGAAAGGTGAAGTGCTTATATGTAGGTGTGTCACTCCAATTGGTATGAGGCCTTTTAGGCTAAAGCCCATGAGCAAAACCATGCAAACTCAGGCCCAAAGCAAACAATATCATACCATGTGGTGGAGTGCTTAACACAACCAACATCTAGGTCCCAACCTCGTCATCTCCCCCACGTTGTTTTAGCACCAAACCAGTGTCACGCAACAGAAACCATCAATTGGTTGTTTGCTAATTACTCCACCATTGATGCCAAGTAACAGTCACATAGCATCAGCTGCGATAAGAACGATGACTACCATGGTCGGAACAACATTGAAGACCTATCAGTGGTCGGAGTTCCAAGATTGAACCGGCTTAATCAGAACCCATCTTTCCATTAAAGAACAGCCGATCAGACCAGCAAAAACTAACGAAATGTACTGGTAAGACGATGAAGCATGTTCATCGTGAATATCAATGAAAGCTACAGCTTCCTTCATCAACGTGAACAAGTCCTGCCAGTCTCACCTTCATAGACCCACCAACTCCAGCGAAGTTGTAGAGACGGAACTCTTGCGGCAATGGCAAAACGGTGAAAGTTTCTCTTTCCAGCAACAACACTGCTGAGGAGCTTGATCTCTCGATGGCCAATTGTAAGTGACAATCAGCGAGACGCCGAGACCCAATTGCAGCAACAATTATGGCGAGCTTCAGTCTGGTAAAAAGTCTCTCTTTTCAGCGACAACACCAGTTGTGATTGTTGAGTTATCATATCGGTGAAGAATTGTTAGGGCTACAACTTTGGCGGGCTAACCCAGCCCAACCCAACCCTAACCTAGAAATTTTAAAATTTGGGCTTAAAATTCACAAATCGGGCTCATGCTCGGGTTGGGTTTTGTCTAAACCCAGACATGTTCTGGTTGGGCTCAGGCTCAACCCGAACCCAACCCAAAACCCAAAAAAAAAAAAAAAAAAAAAAAAATTTATTTTTTTCTCCTCTCTCTTCTTTCTCTTTCTCTCACCGCCACCATCCCTTTGTTGCCGCTGCCACTACCGCCGCCGTCCATTGCCCTCAACCGTTAATCCGCCGTTGCCATTGCCGTCACTTCCAAAAATTAAAACAAAACCCATACATACAAGTTAGCAGTTGTAGAGAGAGAGGGGGGGGGGGGGGGGGGGGGAAAGCTTGAGAGTTGAGAGACAGCGGCTGAAGCTTGCGAACAGCGAAACCGAATTGGAACAATGGGCGATGCAAATTGAAAGATATGGGTTTTGATTTTTCGAACAATTTGAAATGATATGTTGATGTGGGTTTTGATATAGTTAGTAGGTTTTGAACTTTTGATTCTTGCAGACTGATAGATAAACTGAAATATATGGGTTTTGAAGATTTGATTCTTGTAGATTTTGTAGTTTGCAGTTGGAGAGAAAGAGAGATGGGGCAAGTTCAGAGTTGAGAACGAGAATAGAGATGGAGGTGATTGGGAGGCTAAAATGATTTGCCCTAATAGAATTTTGTTTTTAATAATAATATAATCAAATATATATAATATATACATAATTTTTTGAAACATAAAAATAAATAAAAATAAAAATAAAAACTCAACCTGTCAACCCGACCCAACCCACTCGAAAATATTCGGGCTGGGTTTTGACCATAATCCATGTTTGGTACAATTTGGGCTGGCCCAACCGATTAAGGTTGAGGTTGGGTTGGGATTGGGCTGGGTTGGGCCAGCCCAACTTGCAGCCCTAGTGAAGATTCACATAAAGAGATGACAATTTGGCAGAGAATGAAAGCTTAGGTGACAGATTTGTGGTTGAATTTGGTGGTCTTGGTTTGGGGTTTTAATTGAAAAACAAAGCTTGTTACTTTTTTCCCAGCCCATACCAACCCATCATCACCTCCAATTATCCAAACAAATCTTTTTTACCCAAATCTTCAAACCCAATAATTATGGACAACTCAATCATGGCAGCGACGGATTCCGGCAGTCATGGGTGCCTAGGGATGGCAATTTGACCCACCCCGCAGTTATCCGCCCCACCCCGTCCCCTTTTTGGCGGTTTTGGGGGACCGTTTTGCTTATTTGGATAGGGATGGTTTGATATAATAAAAACCCCGCCCCGTTTAGAAAGGCAAATTATTTAAGTACCCTTATTTCATTAGTATCTATATTTCCCACTATATATTAAGTACCCTATATAACAATATTAAAGTAACAAATGAATTTTATTAAAAGGAAAGTTGCAATGGTGAAGAATTGAAGATGAGGAAAAAAAAAAAAAAAAAAAGAGCAAATCCGCTTCAACAATAATTAAATTATGGTCTTAAACGGGGTTAGGCGAGTACCCGCGAGGGTAAAAATGTTAAACGGTTACGGGGATGGGGTGAAAAGTTCCCCCGTTTTTTCGATTTTAGGCAGGGACGGGAGAGGGTAAACCCGCCCCCGTTGCCATCCCTTTGGCTGCCGAGGGAGGAAAAACGACGACAAAAGCAAAATCCAAAGTTTCAATCCGTCAATGATTTAATTAAGGTTGATTTTATGATTAGTTTAGTTTGATTTGCCAAACCGGGTCCCAAATCAGCTAGGGTTTTGGGTTTTGAACATGGATTTTTTTTTTTTTTTTTTTTTTTTTTTTTTAACATGGTTACTGGAAGATATATGTGTATATATGTATTGTGTTATATATATACACACACACACACACAAACATTTATTTACTGTATATAAGGTTAGGATTACAGTTATAATTTACAGCATGGAACAGTGTCACCTTGGTTTTTTTTGTAAATATGAGAATACTTTGGGGCTTTTTGTAATAAAAAAAAGTTCAAGAGTTTATTTGGAGAGTAAAGTTCAAGAGAGTTTTTTGCACTTTTACCCAATATTCATAGGTGAAATAGCACCAAAGAATCTCCGGGCGCCATGTGAGTCAAGTTCAACATAGTACGAAAGTCGCCCACCTATATCCGTCCCAATGCTTTATCTTTATGGTAGCACGCCAAGGTCAGTAATGACATCAACGTGCATAAAGATACAATAAAGCTCAAAATTGATGAGCATACGAAATTGAAAGAAGTTTAATTCAAGACATGTACTAAATTTTCTCCAAACACCGATTCGCTGCCACAAAACATTGCAAGTTATTCATTAAGAATTAGATTTGAGGCTGAAATGTTACAGATTGTTCTTTCTTTTCATTTTTTTTTTTTTCAAATCACAAAATATGCTATATGGCGCTTCACTCAAAATGCAAGTTCCTTGCAAATCTGAATTGAATTATATACAAAAGAATATAAAAATAAATTAAAATATGAACTTGATCAAGCTCATGTTTTTCTTGATTAAATGAGTTTAACTTGTACCGTAAGAAGATCAATGTCAAGCAATTTTTAAAGATTCAAATTATTCTGAACAAACAAAAATTTTATTAGCAAACATTTTTAGTCCGCAGTACTCTCATGAGACTATTACTACTGCTGCAAAATGACAAACTTTAGGTTGGAGAGGCTCTTACTGATACAGAGCCTGACATGGATACATTACTTATTTACCACATAGAAAAGGAATACAACCTGTTGCTGCGTGTGGATGTATGTATTTATGTAATAACAGTGGGGGCGGATCGGCCTGTGAATTCTTCCATCTTAGACAGTTTGAGAGCAACCTCCACCTGTTACCAAATGCACTATATAGTTAACAAAAAGAGAATGATCAAGAGAAGTGGTAATGAAGAGAAATGGAAGATCATAGATATCTCACAAGAGGAGACAGTGCTTCTTGAGAATCTCTCCCGATCTTCGAAGAATCCTTCTCATATTGCTCAATGTAGAGACGAATGGTTGCGCCTTCTGAGCCAGTTCCAGAGAGACGGAAAACCTGGAATGCAGTGTCAAAACATGTCAGAGAATAAGTGAGAGCATACGTTTACATTTCCTCATAACATGTAAAGTTTGGTAGTCAATGCAGTCCTGCACAACAGCTTAATTGCAATAATTTCGTTCCGACATAAAAAAATAATAAATAATAAATAAAAAAAAAAACCCCTCAACTTTAAACAATGAATGGTGAAAAGGATCCCACTTACCAATCGCGATCCATCTTCAAACAGATATCGGATTCCCTGATGCTTTGAGATGGAACCATCAACAGGATCTTTGTATTCAAATTCATCAGCACTAGCAACATTTGACACATCTGAACGTATTCCCTTCACAATCCTGCGTGTTTTAAAGATGAGGAAAGAGCATATTAAAAACAACACATACCAAATGAAAGAATCAGTTACCAATGCAATGAATAGTAAAAAATAATGTTCTAAAAAAATGAATAGTAAAAAATAATGTTATAAAAAAGAACAAATCGAAAAGGGCAAATTGGGACTAGGGAACCTCTCTTTACAATAAATAATTTGACGATTCTCTTTCACATATATATAGGGAATTAAAAAGAAAAAGAAAATAATTATAACCCCAACCCAAGCCTCATCACTTGGATACCCAGGCCAAGGTTTGCAGCCCTACATGTGCCAAATCATCCCTTAAGAAAGTTCTCCTTTGAATTACAAACATAAGAATATTGGTCACCAGTTGCACAACCCATGCATGCAGGACAACCAATAATTCACATGTTCAGGCTCCGGCTACAACAGTTAGGGCCTTTAATCTTCAAGGGCCACACATACACAGACCACGAATAGTCTTGGAGCATGCATAATGATCTCCATGTAGAAGATAATTAACAATGACACTTAAACTTTTGACTATTTCTAACAATGCAAAATGAACATTAATAAGCTGTGTTTGAAAGTGGGTTTCAAGGCAATATAAAGTCAAAAGGACCAAGGACAATCCTAACATTTGGCATTTTTTTACACTGAATTTGCGTCCTCACATTTGTCAACCCGTACTTTTACCACTACACCATGCAATGACCCCTAAATTCTAACCTTTCTAAAGAGTTCTCCAACTATCCATTTAATTTTGGTCTGTATTACTGCTATTGCTATCTGTGAACGCAAAACAATATATTTGGAATTGAAACCAGTCAAATTCAATCAAGATTTCTTTTACTATAGTTCTGTGACGAAAAAAGAGTTTTGATGTACAATAGGTTAACTAAAATCTAGAATATATAGTTCAAACATGTTTCCAATAACAATATCCATATTCGCTGGACTTACCCCTTTAATCTATTGTGTGGAATCATTGTTTCAGCGGAAACGGTGACCAACTTCTACAGCTTGATATGCAGTTTACAAAAGCACAAAAAGAAATATGTATCATTGCGGGCAAGCTATAAAAAAGAGGAGTCGCAATTCTTATAAAGACGTGATATCTTATTCCAAACATATCCAAAGGATCTCTCAGATGGGCTTGGGTCATCTAGTCATCTCCAGTTTGGAGACTCCTTGGTTTCCCATGGTCGGACTTGGCCGTGGATGAGTGCCAAATTGCTCAAACCTTGAGATTACCCTATAACAAGATCTAGCCAAGTATATGCTTTCTTCTTCCGACTTAATGCAGATAGCACCCAGAGAGTGGAAGATGTTAACATAAAGATTAAAAAACTATTTTATTCCCCCTCTCTCTGAGTGTCCTATATTGGTTTTGGCTCCAAAGGCCCACTTTTATTTTATTTCATTAAAATCCTTAATCACAAACTGCAGTGGACCATTATCAATCTCAAGAACCCAAAGTGAGAGATTCAGACCAGGGTCTCATAGAATAAGTATATATATTCCTGTTCCAAAATTCAAATTTTATGAAGATCTATTGAGCTATAAGGAAGAGAATCTCTTGAGATTCCTTTACTTGGGTTTATTTTTGTTTCAATGACCTATTATTTCAAATCAAACTGGTTTTTCATATGGAACTCAATCTATCCACCCTTTCGCTCTACAAGGATCAAGATCAAATGAACCGTCATTCTTTTTGTATCAAGTGAAGATATATTCACCTTTCAAAAAAAAAGAAAAAAGAAAAAAAGTGAAGATATATTTCTGACCTCTTGGTAACACACATTCTTTATTTCTAGCAGAACAGAGTTCGGTGATATGTGCTTGTGCAGTTAATTTTTTAATATCTAAAAATAAAAATAGATATGTTCCAAAGTAAGCCACTTCAATTGAGTCATGGAGGCTATCAGTTCAAATATAAGACAAACGGAACCTAAATATATCAATAGAGAGAGCAACAGAGGACACCAAGTGAATCCAATAACAAAGGAGACGGCAAGTCAACAAATGGACAAAAGCAAAAGAGGTAAAATGAACTACATAATTGGTTTTCATCTTCCAGTCAACACTCTTACATTCTAATTGAGAAAAAATAAAAATAAAAACATATAACAGAACTGTTAATCAGAGTGATACATATACACGTTAAATATTCATAATTTTCTAATATTATAATATTCACAAGGCAGTATTGTGTTAGGCTGTTAGCTATGTAACAATGTGTTCAATATGGGTACTAAACTCATTCTGCAATAATTGTGCAAAAAAAAGAAATACAAGATGGAAGATTTATCTACAATTGTAACATATTTGAATTATCAAACATGCTCGCCAGTCACCAGCTGTATGTCCAACCAGACATGGTGAGCATATCCTGTATCTATACCCTAAAGTCCTGTGGCCAACATTGGTACTTTACGCATCCAGTTAGCATATATTGGAAGTAAAAAGCATATCCGACATGACTGGAACTGCTCCAATCAGTAACTCTTAAGCAACATGGAACCCACCATTCAATAGTGCCCACATGCACAAGCGGACACACATGCACACAGACATAAACGCATACAGGTACAAAAGAAAACTTTAGGTAATTACAGCATGTCATTACTTGATATAGCATCAATGAAACTTGAATATTAACAGATAGAACGTGCTCATGAAAGTAGATATGAGAAGCATACTTGTTAACTTCGCTCAGGGTAGATTGCAGCTTTACCAAGTATGCCATTAGTTCCTTTGCGGCACCTGCATCAACATTCTTGAAGAAACAAAACAATTAAAATTAATGAAAGATATTTAACCAAATATGCTTATTGCCATTAAACGGATCGAAAAATTAAATATGCATACCTCATAATCATACCGGGTGTAATAGTGGCGACCATAGGTACCCCAATGCTGGCGAACAATGTCTTCAACTGACACAAGCTTTCCCCCATTCAGGTTTTCCTTATTTTTGTAAGCAAGAATTGATAGCCAAGCCAAAACAGCCCAGATTCCATCTTTCTCACGAATATGGTCTGAGCCTGTCAATTGATAAAACAATGATTAAAAAAAATTTGTGCAAATGTTTCAATGTTTCCACATATAAAATAAACAAAATTAAATATTGAAGAAAGAAGGCATAAAATCTTACCAGTTCCAAAACTTTCCTCACCACATACCGAACATAATCCAGCATCCATCAAGTTACCGAAGAATTTCCATCCAGTGGGCACCTGGCATTTAATATAGATAACAAAATTATGCCTCGACAACAGTTGTAAAGGAACCCATAATTAGATATACTACTCTCTGAGTACCTCAAAAAATTTCAAATTCAAATGTTTAGCTACAACATCAAGAGCAGCTGATGTAGGCATGCTCCTACAGGCAGAAAAATAAAAAAAAAAAAAATATGAGATTGAAATGTATTGAGTGTAACTTGTGATAAAATGGAAAATACAAAAGGATGGTGCACATGTGCCCGCACAATAGATAGGATGCAAGTGCCCTGACAAGATATGATTAACTATAATAGAAGTAAATTTGAACATGTGTGCACAAATACATGAATCTGCCACCCACACAGGTGCACACGCATTCACAAGCAGACACTCACACCTACACCCACAAAAGAAGCTGAGCAAGAAGTTATAGAACCTGGCTACTCCCTTCAGACCAGCAGAGAAATAAGGTATGGAGTGAACAGCATTTGCAGCAATGATAGCAACAGAATCCGATGGAGTAACAAAAAACCTGACAACACAAGAAAAGATAGAAATGTCTTAAGGTGCTTGAAAGTTTTCAATTGTACTCAACAGAAGTCAGCTGTGATGCTACCTTTTACCAAGGATCATGTTACGATCTGCATCACCATCAGCAGCTGCACCAAATTCTGGGGGCTCCTCTTGAGTGTTTGACTTGCCCAATCCCATACGTGCAACTAACTCCTTTGCATATGTCAGATTAGGGTCAGGATGACCTCCTCCAAAGTCCTCCTGCTCTCATGAAGTCATGTATAAAAGCAACAAAGAGAAATATGGATTCAGTACACAAAACTAACTTAGCTGGAAAATTTTATAATAAAAATATTAATTTTACAAAAAAGGGAGAAGACCTTCGGTGTGCAGTTCAGTAATGAGCTTTCTTTCGCACCAAGCTCTTCAACAAATATACGATTAGCATACGCTCCACCAACTCCATGAAGTGCATCGTAACTTAAAAATGACCACAGAAGTAAAGCATTCAGTATATGTGAAAAAATACATCAACAATAAAATATTACATATTGGATCCAAATGAAATGCTATCTACTTACCAGAATGAGAACTTTGGAGATGTAATCAACTTCTGGATAGATTGGAAATCAAATATTGACCTGGGAATCAACAACCACAAGTTGTTAAATGAATGAAATGTTAATATTCTTATTTAAAACAGAGAAAATAAAAACTGTTATGAAAAAAACTATATAATATAACTGCTTAACATTTTCTCAAAAGATTGAAGAAAGTAGCAGATTGCATCAAGTTTATGTACTCATTATCATGACTACTGGTCCAACAGGACCAAAATATGTTGTTGCATAATACTAATAATAGAAATTTGTCTATATCATAAAAAGCAAATAGTACACATAATAATGGAACAATAATATATAACACCCCAAATCATCAGTTGGCAATAAAAACATACAGAACAGTTAGAAAAGAGGAACAAAAAGGGAAAATGTTACAAACTGTGGAGTGCAATACACCAGTCACCATCTTTTAGCAACATAGATAAGCATTATTCAACATATAAATGTGAGAACTTTAGGTTGATCCTGTGAAGATAGCATACTTCATCAATTTCACATAATCACTAGCTGAATCAAAAACATCTACGTCGAATTGCCCCTCTGGTCCTGCAAAGTTTGTTATGCCTATTGCAGAGATATCCACCTGGAATATATATCAACCAATATAAGATAAGCATGCAATCAGTAAAGAAACATAATGCAACCTAGGAATATTTATACAGCTTAGGAAGCAGGTCATACATCTGGTAGGTCTTCGGCAATCAAGTACTCCTTTATTGTTTTGGTGTTCTCAAAGATCTTATCAGTAATTCCCTCCGGTGCAGGTCCACCATTTTCCATGTTGTATTTAATTCCAAAATCCTGTATAAAAATAAAAATAGGAAACAAAAAGGCATTAGAAAAAGAATCAGAGATTAGCTATCTGAAAACTCTAATTGAAAATTCTTGCCATTTCACTGCTCAAATGGCAAATCAAACATCATTGTTTTCTCCTCAGAATAGAGGTTCTATCTTTCAAACATTTCTTAGTCTTTCCAGTTTATTTCCTGATGCATCAATTTTGGATTGTTGACATCTACTAACAGCTCCCAGTTTCGAATTTTAATTTTTTTTCTGGATAGCTTTTTATTTCTTTCTATCGTTTTTTTTTTTTTTTCTCCCTTTCCTTTCTTTGTAACAAGACAGTAATAAGAGTGAGGTAAATAAAAAAGTAAATTTCCAGATTACGTGATGCAATTCTACCTTAGAAGTCTTGTGCTGTGACAACACAAAGTAGATAAAGGATACTGGAAGTGGGCAAAGGAGTTAAATTTACATATTGGAAGAGTATTCAGCCATACAAACTCATCCTAAAAAAGGTTAGCGAAGGCACATGACTGCACCCACACTCTCATACACACTCACACAAACGTGAGACCAAGGAATAAAATATCAATGAGTTCATCAAAAGTTGGAAAAAAATGGGAATAGCGACAAATGCAAGGCTATTTATATTGTTATCTCAACTTTTGGAGGAAAAAATATGGATAGTGATAGCAAAAATTATGAAAATTTTGAGTTAAAATAACACTTTAATCGAGTAAAATAAAATAAATGTGTTTGACATGTGGTGTATAGGTACATGAAATGCATGCCATTGAACATATAATGAACACTAATCGCTACTCACCATAAACTTCTAACTCTATCAACATCAAATGTGTGTCAAATTTAGATAGATGAATAGACATATCAAATAAAGATCAGATATAAAAATACAATCCACAAATAAACCAAAAACATAATATAATCAACCCTATGGTTTAGTATCATATGATTCTCCGGTAGACTTTGATTGATTGGTGGATCCGTCAAATTTTTATCAAGAATTTTCTTTGAACTACAGTAAGCCTCGATTGATGGAGAGGTTTCCAATATGTGTCGATGGATGCCTCCATCGACTGAACCCAGCGAAAGTTTATTATTAGAAAAACACTCAAAACAGATTTCTATAAGGATTCAACTTGGCAAAACGTGTAAGCTATATATATTGGCTATAAGTATGGGATTATAATTAGTCTAGGGTGTGACACAAGCCTTTGATCATCTAAAGAGAGAAATTACTTGAGGAAGAGAAAACCTTTGTTTACTCAAAATCTAGGGTTTCCTTTAGGCCTCATCATATGCAATTGAGTGATCAACAAAAAAGAAGATAATCAAATTTTTGAGGAAAATTAATTCAACCGATCAGAATATTGAGCAGAAGATTTGGACAGCCATGAACAAGAAGATTGCCTGAAGCAAGCCTTGTTAATGGAGTAGATCAAGGACCTGAGACTCTTGAGTGTCAATTTGCCTACAGTCTGTGTCAAGAGGTAACTAGGGATTCTGGGGTGTGGGAACTGCAACCTATTTGTAACCTGTTTCTCATAGTGGATCATTTATTGCTGAATGAGATCTCGTGATTTTTCCCTGTTATGGTTTTTCATGTAAAAACTCAGTCTCATGCTTATGTAATCGTGTGATTGAATATAAACTATAAGGAATAACTAAAACAACAAAAAGTCAAATCACAATCAGCAAGAATCTAGTAAATAACTGAATTTTGAAATTAATATTCATACGGCTAATACATGTGTTATCGTATCATTCTTTACTAACTCTACCCACATTAACATTGGCCATCCTCTTCCCCTAGTATTACCCTCAATGTGAACTATGTCACTCTTTCTAACTCGCACATTAAAAAGTCTTCTTTGAACATATCCAAACAGAACTATTAAGGCTAAAAAAAGCTTTAAAAATTTCAGTAATAGTCAAATGATCTTGCAACGCATTGTGCAATATATATCAAGTCTTGTTTGTCAATAAAATTAAAATTTTACTCAAATATATATGACATATCCTTAATTGGTATATCCATTAACATAAAAAAATATTTTGCAATATGCTATGATAATATATGAGTTTGAAACCACAAGAGATATTGTCTTGTCATGTACCAATATCCACATCCAACATATATAAGTTGCAATTTTCTTATTTAATGGCCCACACGTGCATAAGGAAAGCATTATTGTTCTAATGACTTCCAGACTTTAGGGCCAAATTTTTTGTGAGGACTACATTAGGAAAGGGCATTAGGCCTAGATAATATGCCAAAATGGAAATGCCTGGAGGATTATCTCAACTATATAACTATGGAGAAGATTAAGAGGTTCAACTATCAGCATAAGTTCAAGAAAAGAGAGGTGGTATTCAGCTTCTGGTATTCCAATTAACCTAGGATCAATCTCATTTAAACCATGAGAGGCACTCAGATCTCAAATAAAACCATTAAAGCTTGAGCCTTCATGTAAGGGAGATATGCAGTCGGGCTTTCTTCATACTTAGAAAACTTATGGAGTAGAATGATGAAAAGTGTTTTCAAAAATTTTCATACAAACCAAGGGAGATGAAAAGAAACCTAGATGGTCAATTTGGTAAGTTTAAAGGAAAAGGAGTTCCCATCAATTGTCTTGATATGAAAAAGAACAAATAAAAAAAAAAAAAAACAGACAAAAGATAAGCACAACAAGTAAGGAGTGCAGGAGGTGACACCAAAAGAGTTTCCAGGAAAAGCTCACTCCAATACATATTCATCACAGCATGCTAACCTAGATTCCTTCCTGTACCATATGTGTAACTTGTTAATAAAAATGAAACTTCAACCACGTTTGGTGCCTAAAAATGAAAATTTTCCACGATATATTGGGGAAAAAGAATTCATAGAATGAACCTCAGTATGATTATTAGAAAAACTGTGGAGGTGGATAAATTGATGGCAATGAAATATGACATAGCAGATGACTGATAAAGAGGAAACATTGAATAGACATCACCCTATACATGTCTTCTATTTTTTAGAATGACTTTATTCATGTCTTTTGCTAAAAAAGTACATCTTTCAACTTAAGTCAAATTTAGAACCTCAATGAGCCAAGATTATGAATTGGAATATATGGACCTATGTCGCCTGTAACCTGAATTGTTTCGGTATGCAGACTTTGTGTCTGTAGGTGCTATCAGAGAACATAATACACTAGGAGAAGGCCTTACATAGTTTTCAAGGTTCTCTAATTAAAAGCTAAAACGTGGTATGAATTATATGGAATGAGGCCCATAGTCTTAGTTTTAGGCTTCCTAAATAGAAGTGTATTCTCTAACCAGGCCATAATTACTGCATCAGTCACATTTACTAAAACAATGATACCATACCTGTTATACAATAAATCATTATTTTGGACTGAAAGAAACTTGAAAATTCTGGTAACAAAAGATTGTCAGAGAAAACTTTAGCAAATACTTTTTAGCTGAATTCTGCTTCAACAAACTTTCAGGTCATGAATTTGTAACGATTTTAGCTAGTACCTATTCTTTCCATTGGCTTTGTTCGGTTGACTCCCTCTCTTCAGATTTAGAATGTTTTCATGTCCCTTTCAAGGAGGAAAAAAAAAAAAAAAAAAATCTGCTTTCTAATTACTTGAAAACTGGCAATTGACAAAAACTCAAAAGTGCTTGGGCCACAATATGAAGACCCTTCCCTTTCTCCGAACAAAAAGCCCCTTCCTTCATAACTTTATTTGCCTTTTATCGCCCCACTTTTTCTAATTCAAAAAAGAAAATGGGCGTGTAAGATCTTAAACTAAATGAATCCAGTATAAAAATATTTCATACCACACACAAATCAAACTTTAGAAGTAACTAGGAACATCCAACAGAGGTTTTCAAGCAAAAATTAGAAGTGAACATCTTCAGTGCATATTGGCAATTACATAACTTGGCCAACAAAGAATGTAAGTGCATGCTGATGTTATGAAGTCTACTTTAAGAAATAAAATCTAGCCCATTAATCTGTTATCCAACTTGCAGATAACATGGAAAGCAAATTAACAGAGGCATCTTGTACAAAATGTAAGCCCCAGAGAATTATATAACAGAAATTGTTCTGCCAGCTGTGAATTAACATGGAGCCATTGTTTTCAATCAATGCGACATTCAAGATTTTGAATAGACAATATTTGCATAGCTTAATCCAAAATCCATAACATATTGTGAGAGAAGGTGCTAAATGCAAGTGATGCATTCCACCACCAATGACAAAATCAAAAATCAAAAATAAAAATAAATAAAAGAAGCCAAAAAATGTAAAATCATGGATCACCAGAAATGTACAATTTTCGTCAATATAAAAATTAATGAAAGAAGTGAACATAGCTGGTACCTCATTGGGACCACCTGGGTTATGACTTGCTGTCAAAATGAATGCTCCTGTTGCCTTAGATCCCTGTATTGAAATTTACAAAAGATCATAATGGGTTTTGACTTGCTTTTTAATGTTAAGTAGGAAGAATTCACAGTAATAATGAAAAGAGAACTCCAGAACACATCTAGAGGTAGCAATTCAAAGCAGATTATCTTACATCCGAACCAGTTCGTTCACGTATAACAGCTGATACAGCAGGAGTGGAGAGCAACCCATTCTGACCAACCCAAACGCGTCGTACTCCATTTCCAGCTGCCATCTTAATTATAATCTGCCAGTTTTTACAAAACAGAATAAGTAGATCATATGACAAGGTCAATAACCTGTATGTAAAGGCAACAACCAGTATTTAAGGTAACAAAGGTCTGTTAAAATGGAACTGAAGGGCGTGATCAAACCCAAACCTAACCTATAACCAGGCACAACAAGAAATAAAATAACTCCACCTTAAGTTTCTGGGTTGTCTCTTTCTAGGCCATTATGCCTACGATTTGTTTTTTTATGCATCATGATAATGGGATAACCTTTATAAAGCAAGAGTGATACCATATAATCAACCACATTTGCTATTTACTCTACTCCATAAGAGTAGCTATAGAATGTAAGAACATACTTCATCGGATACATGTAAATATTTACTCCACCACTGTCCTTTACACGGGAGGTTGAGGGCTAGTGGATTGAGTTGGGTGCAGGTGCTCTTACATACCCAAAGAAAATAAATAGACCAGATAAGATCCTGATGACTCAACCCAGCTAAATCAAACTTAATTAAGGTATTGAACCCCCCAACTCAAGCTTGGGCCCATCAAAAAATTGGAAGCTACAACCCACCGTAAATGCTGAGTTAGGTCAACCAAACTGACATGAACCTATCCCAAGATGAATGTTCCGAATATTTTAGCCCAAATTGCAACAAAGATTAAGGGCCCTTTATCTTTATTCTAGGGCAGGCAGAGCATGTGGTTGCACCTACTGGGAAAAATCAAGAACAGACACAAGAAGAAGATTCCAATGATGATAGCAAAGATGATTATGACGACACCTCTTCCGTGGAAGGTCTCAAAACATGGGACATGGCCCGAAGCCAAGTTTGCTGTGAGAGTCGAACCCAAGACGTCCGAGTTTACGGTTCGCCCCAGGAGACCAATAAAAGTAATTAAAAATAAAGTATTCTTGCATGCTGAAAGGACCAAAGGAGCATTACTGAGTGGCCTAGTTGGTTGAACGCCCAGCTCCCCAAGCGGGTGTGCTTGTGTTTGAGTCCCCCCTCCCCCTCGTTTGCCAAGGGGAGAAAAAAGGACCAAAGAGACCCCTTTCACGTAGCCTGTCAATTTGGCTTTAATCAGAATGTCCGATGATGTCTATGGCCCAAGAGTGGAACAGCCAAGGTGTTTCTATGCTTTGTAACTCCACCAAACGTTAAGATTTTATGGTGGTCCAAATGCAAGATCTAAGGAGTAAGACTAGAATCTGCAACAATAATTTTTTTTAAACCTTTTGTCACCAAATCGATTCCCTTTACAAAGACATGCAATTTCAGCCCCACTCTACTTACTTTGACATAACAATAGAGTGCACTCTTAAGTCACTCCTCTTACAGCTATAAGAGTGATGCCTTCCTCTATTCATTGTAATAGATAGGGCAGTCAAGAAGCTAAAGGTCAAAAGGTGCATCTTACAACCTATCTTCCTATATATGATTCTACGATGTCTGCTGTTAATCAAATCATTGGAGAATGGTAATTCAATGATTAAAAATTGGTTCCCTATAACCAATACTTGCATAGTCCCAGATTCTGGAGACAATTTAAGTACATCGAGTTCCACCACAAACCATGAACGGTGAACCCTAAATCACTTTGTCTATGCACTGGCAAAACTTGGGTCTAATCTCCGAGCCTGATTTTATGGGTCCATAATCAGGTCTGTCCGAAATATTAAAATCTTCATTTTAGATTTTTAGTTGATCACAAATTAAAAATATATATATAAGGAATATATACATATTCCTGTCAACAAAAACAAAAGAAGATCCTTCTTTTTTCCCCGTAGACATGTTTTTCATCTCTCCTGCATTCCTTTCCTTCCAATTTTTCATCCTTTATTGGAAATGGAGAATAAGATAATCAAGGACATATACACATGTTAAGGCTTATCACAGGAGTGTCAGCATAATTAACCCAAAAAATAAATAAATTGGAATTGTGTTGGTGTGGCAAGGCATTCTAGAATTCACTCTATTAGGCAGCTGGCTATTTACTAAGACAACTTTATTTAACTTTGATATTGAGCGAGCGGATCTGCAAGGGCCTGAGGAATAAGCCAACTTCAAGGGCTAGCAAAGGCCACTTTTTCATTGTTATTGTAAACTGATATTAGTTACAAATTGGAGGCAAAGGGTATAATTAGTATTTTAATAATAAAAGGAAATTAAAGTTATTTCAACAAGAAAAGGCAATACTGGAAAATTTTCATTGTTAATAGAATTTTGAACTTCATTGGAGATATTTATTGAAGTAAGATTCTGTTCCTAATAAAGTTTTAAAGTTTAATAGGACCTTTTTTTTTTAACACATGTTTAATAAGACTTATTGGTCGTTGCAAAAGAAATATAAACTAATCTGCAATTTTCCTATATGTTAACCTCCTCAACAAAGAAGTAAGCCCTTCAAAGAAAAATAAAATCCTACTCTGTTGAAAATTAAATTGCCTCTTCAGTCAATGATCAGTAACAACCAAGATATCACTAGAAGTTGACAATGCAATAACATGTCATGAAATTAAGCAATGTACTGACAAGAAAATCATATTTGTATAGCAGGGATTTCAGTAACAATTTCTCAGTTTTGTTTGGGGTGGGGGGTGATGGTGGTGTTCTATATGAAGTACCTGGATGGCATCCTTTGAGAAATAGCGACCGTCACCAGAAACAACAAGGGTAGCACCTGCATCAATGAAAATGCCGTTACAAAAAAAATTTAAAAATAAAATAATCCAATGAGCAGTAATTATCTAAGTCAAAAATTAATCATTTGAAAAATGAAGCAAGGAGAGGAAGTCTCGACAATAATTTCCAGAAGGAAATCAATACAGTTAATAAGCAGCTCTGAGTAGCATTTCTAATGATGGAAATATTAGAAGGTTCCCACCTATGACAAAAGATTATTGTACCAAGAGTAAAAGTGGCAAGACCTCTCCGTATTCTCTTCACTTTATGCAGCGATAGGTAAAACACTAACCACGGACCCCAGCATTGGTCCAGCTAGCTCATGCAATCTGTTTGATTCTTTTTACATATTGTAATTATTTACTTTCTTAATTTATGACTACTTGTGCCAGCAATAATATAATTTCCACCAGTAAAACCTCAGTTGGATCTGATAGAATGTATAACCTGGGACCATGTCTTATCTCCAAACTTGTATATCCTTGCCACGTCTTACCCAAAACTCAACCGCCACAAAATACCTTGTCTCAAAAAAATCAAGAGCCCCAGATTCTCAAAAACATTTTTCATTACTACCATTACCACAATTACATCATAACCATTGCACCACCAATCTATGCATACCTAAGTATACCTCTACCATCTATAGAAGGCCTCTAACTATTACAGCAGTGCAACCTTTGGTGCCAACTATGAAACCATGAACCACAAAGCAAAGAGAAGCTGAAACAATCATGCCATTAGTAAATGATAAGATAATTAAAAGAACATAATGTTCCTATTCAGGTCATCAAACCTAGCAGCATATAAATTTATATCAGGTGCCTTGCTCCAGGTGCTCTTGGCCACAAAGATCAAGCTCTTAAAGCATGCTATTAAATATACATTTATGTGATAGTGTATGCTGCCTCCTTAAAATGATACATATACAGCATACCATGTAACATGGGTCAGGAATTGGAGAAAAATCGCTGTGAATTTCAATTCCAGATTATCAAATTCCCAAAAGAATATGAATAAAACATGTTTTGATGTATCAAACTTTATATGCTATATTTTTTACTCTTGAAATTTTGGTGAACATGACCGATAGTTTAATATATACAAACATTTTTGTGAAGAGTAAAATTTTCTCAAAGCGTCAATTTAACTGCTTGTTTTGCATCTGTATTACAAATATATATAAATATATATTATTATGTATTCAATTAAATTTAATTATATTGAGAAGTATTATTGAGAAATTTACTCTAAACAAAATCAAAGTCGAAGTTTAGAAAATATAAACCTTAACTTTCGGTAAAAGAAAGAAACAATTTAATCAACGAAAAATGGTCTCTAATTAAGGATATCATAGATCAGATAATTCATCCTTCAACAAAATGTCTAGAGGATTCAGACAATAAGGATCACCAAAAAGTAAAATAGAACAATAGATGGGTGAATTTTGAAAAGCTACCATACGGGAGAATAAGAACATAACTTGCAGAGGTTGCCGATACGGATGAAATCATGGAATTAGTTGATGCATTGTATATTAGCCAATGATTAATCAGTTTCAAAGTACCACAAGTATATCTATAATTAGTACTTCTTTACTGTCAGATATGCACTCTACAAGTTTACTGATTAGAGAGAGAGAAGAAAAGCATTCACTCAAGAAACTGGTAAGGATGGATATAAACCCATTCCTCCACAAAGATATCTATAGCTATTTGGATTCCATACACTAGTTGCTAATTTCAATAAATCAGGGGCCAAACTAAAAGCAAAGAAAAAGACACAGGTTACTTAAGAAAAATTATTGACCCACTTCAATAAACAAAAACAAAGCATATAACTATTTGAGTATTGTTGACAGGATTAAGCATACCTTCCCTTCTTATGGCAATTTTCCTACCACTCATACATCCTAACATCCTTTAGCTAATCAATATTCTGGACAATAAAGCATATAACTATCTTTCTATAAATATCCTTTAAGTGATATATTTGCCTTGACACTACAAAAGAAACCCTCCACTTTATCCATTGCATATTAGTGTTACCAGATCATAATATATGACACAGCTGCTCTCGAGGTGATCATAGCCATCAATCTCTATGTCAACAGTAAACAAGCACCTAGAAAATGCCCATGTCATTACAATCAGCACGACAAGAAAGACACTCTATTCTTTCCTTTGAGTTCAGCTGAATATATAAACGTTCTTCTTTAATGCTTTGTTCGGTAGAAAGGAAGGAAGAGGGGTAAGGGATGATAGGAAGGAAGAAACAAACTTTCTTTGTTCGGTAGAGAGGAGACAAGGAGAAAAAGGATAATAGGATGGATGAGCCGTCCTTCCTCCTTTACTAATTTTCATCCCTCCAAATATGGGTGGAAGGGAGGAGGGAAGACAACTGGGGCTATCATACAAGTTTTAAATTACAATACTAACCTCATAAATTAAAATAATATAGATAGTGAAGGGTATAATGATAAAAACATTTAAAACTCTCTCTTCCCTTCTCTCCTAATGAACATAGTAATTTGTGAGCTTATTCTCTTCTCTTCCATCCAACCAAACAAAAATAGGGAACGACACAATCTCTTCTCTAGGGGATGTCTCATCCATCCCTTCTTCTCTCCCTTCCATCTAAATTTTTTCCTTCGTACCGAACTAAGCATACTGAAATCCCAGCTTAATATTCAAAAATATAATCCTTGTTTTATAAATAAAATATAATCCTGTAAAAATAATTGGAACAGAAATATCTTTTAAAACAATATTTTCAATGAATTGATTTTACATGTGTGTAAGAATACTCATGTAAGGCCCAGGATGGAGGAGTGATTTGGTTCAAGTTGAAAGCACCAAACGGATAAAAAGAAATGCAGAAAAATGTTGGGAAAAGGAGATGAAAAAGGATTCACAAGGTACAAAAGTGGTTGATAGGGCTTCACTAAGTTAGTTTTATTGGGAAAATCATAGGAGTGATTTTAGCCTAAGAAAGAATATTGATTGGAGTGATTTATGGGACTGATTTTAGGAATCCTCCATCAATGTATTTTCCATATTTATCACTTTGCTTTCATCGCCTATAAATAGAGGTGCTCATTGTAAACAATATTAAGAGAGATTATAATGAAAGTGATGTAATCCTTTGGGTTTTTTGTGCCATGGATGTAGGCCATAGTGGCCTAACCACATTACATCCTTGTGTTTTTCATGTTTAATTTATTTCTTCAATTTTTTTATATTTCAAGAAGTTTATACATTTTGTTACCAAAAGTTCAAAACCAAAGAAATAGTTCAACAACAGATGCAAGTAGACAATAAACAGCCAAAAGATCTCTGTGCAATTGTTTTTCTTTACTTTTTCTGAATCTCTGTAGACTATGGAGTTCAGCAATCCTTGTAAGCTGTCATTTCTTAGTGAGTCAGTAATAAATATCAAGAACCTAAACGTAGGTCAGAAATGGAATTGATGGTCCTTCAAAGATTAGTATTATTTCATGGAAAACAGTGAATAACACAATGTTCAAGCAAAGAGAAAATAATATGAAGGTATCTTAAATATCTAAGTGAATAAAAAGATGGTGGTGCAATAAAAACATTCCACGCGTATTCAATTACCAACATAATTTTTTCTATACTCACTATAAGAAAGCTGCAGAAGATACTCGGCACAATGTCATAACCAATGTTGATATAATGAAACTGGTAACACATGGTAGCATGGTGATAGGAAATTTTCAAACAGAGGAAAACAATGCATATTCTGACTGATTAAACCGGTACATCTCTCTGGAAATAAGTTTATAAGCAAGTTCTTTGTCAACAGAAAATGCATCAAGAGAGGTATACTTTCCTACAAGGCTACCACTGATAGAAACAGTTGATGCGAAGCATCTGTTGCAGGTTGTTACTAATCCCTGGATTTAGGTAAAGGACATTGCCTTAAGATATATTTTGGAGGAAAACATTTAAGAAACTATGGATTTACAGGAACTTGTATAACTTTTGACTTTGAATTATATACTTGAAGTATACTCTGAATTCATTTCATTGCACAAGAAGAAATAAAAATACCTTGTAAAACATAAAGGTAAGCCACAGAATGGCAAAAAAATAAACATTATCCCTACCTCTGACTTTTTCGGCTGAGAGAGCATTGAAGGATGACTGAACAAAGTTATGCAAGTAATTGGGTTGCTTGAATACTTTTACCTGAAAATATCCAGCCAGCATCATATATATTAGACTAAAACGATAACATTCTAGCAACCAACAATAGAATGTTCCTCCAACATACGAAACCTAATGAAACATCCTCTCTCTCCGCAATGGCTAACAAATCTACCGAAAATGCTTTCAGATAATAGGTTTCATTTGAGATTTCAGGAGTATGTCAAGTATCACAATTTGAAACCAGTATATAGATTGATAGATTCACTAGAAATTAGGTAATATACAGTAGCTCTTTAACAGTAAACTACAAGACAGTGTGGTCTAGATTAAAAATGCTTCAACAAAATAATCAATCAATGTTTTATTGCCATACAAGTATGATGATATTAAAATATATAACAAGGGAAACATTTTTTGGATCTCACACATACAAAAATATATATAACGCATCAATTCGACACAAGACTCACTGATCTATAAACTATTTACAGCACTCCTTTGTATTATAAACTCCTTTGTATTATAAACAAGATCTAATCAACTGATAGCATAGTCATCAGATCCATAATTGAAGAAGATAAATTGCTGAGACAGTGAATTTCAACTGAACTTCTAAAAATCAGGCACATGACGCAAAAGTACAGCCCGAATTCAATAACAACAATCAAAACTTCATAAAATCAGCAGTTTGAAACTAATCTGACAGATCAAACAGAACGAACTATATATACATTGATAAGAATTGAAGATCAAACACATCCAGGTGGAGTGAAAAGAAAAACAAATTTATACACAAAAATCTTGAATTACCTTCTTCCTGAGACCAGAAGTCCCCGGTTTCTGGCCCTCGTAAGGAGTGGTTTCAACGCGAGAAACCTTGAACATCACCATTTCTTCGTACTCGTAACTGAAAAAATTAGCAGAAATTCCGAATCAGAAAATAGATGGATCATAAACCGAAAGAGTAGTATGCATGTATATATGAATAAATATATAGAGAGAGAGTAGAGAGAAAAAAGGTTTACAGTGAAAGCCAGGAAAAATGAGGAAATGAGGGTTGTGTGAGAGAGAACTACGCGACGATGTTATAAAGAGAGAGATTCTGGAGATGAGGTTTATTCGAATTGATTAGGCATCTGAGAATTTTTAAGCCGCACGTACCTATTAAACGTCAGGAATAGACCGCTAACGGAGAGCGCTTCACACGGTGGTAGTGGGTCAGATCTCTCACACGGTGGTAGTGGGTCAGATCTCTTCACACGGTGGTAGTGGGTCAGATCTCCGGTCTTAGCTCTCTCCCTTCCGTGGTTATATTTTTATTATTATTCTCTTTGCTTCACATGACATATGTCTCACAAATTTTGGTGGTGAGCTGTCTATCTATTACTTCAAAGATTTGTATGTTTGGACTAGTTTATTGTACTCTCAATGTATCTACTAGTCATGAGGATTAAAAAAAAAAAAATTATCTACTAGTCATGTATCTCAATCAATGGGTACACTCATACCTTCTTTTTTTTTTTTTTTTTTTTTTTTACTTATTTATTTGTTTTTATCCAAGGATGGTGGGAGCCTAGACGATTTAGTTACAAAAATATTTATTTTTTTATATTATTACTTTCTTATATTAGTAGACCTAATTGATGGACTATCCCAAAAAAAATTTATTTAGTTGGTATATTATTTACCTTCCTAATACTTATTTTTTTTATTATGATTTAGTGATTATTGTACCGATTTGTTGCAGTGAATTACCAAACTTATTTATTTTATTAATTTTAATGAGTTCATCTATATAACAAATAAAAAAATAGAACCCTCCACTTACTTGTACGAAACTTTCATTAAGTATTTCAATGCAACAAATCAATCTTAGGTTCAATTCTCCCTCCCCCAAATAGCTAACTACTAACCATTGCCAGAAAAAAAATAAAAATAAAAATAAAAATTTAATAAATAAATAAACTACAACAAATCGGTGCGAGTATCACTACACTTATGTTGCGTTTGGTGTGTAGGAATGAAATGAAATACAATGCAATTGGGAATAGAATGACAATAGAAATGGAATAGAATGGTCATTCTCATTCTATTGTTTGGTTGTAAATATGAAATGTGTATGAATAGAATGTTATAACTATTCCAGTGTTTGATTGGACCAATTTAAAATTTAAAACGGAATAAATTTCAAATTGAATTATCCAAAATATCCCTCTTCGTAATAAATAAATTAAATTAACAATTCTATAATAATTTATAAAAAAATAAATGGTGGCAGTGGCGATGGTGGATGGTGGTGACGATGATGGTGGAGGTGGAAAGCGGTAGTGGTGTTGGAAGGCGGCAATAGTGGCAATGGTGGAAGATAACGGTTGTAATACCCCTAATTTTAAAAAGATAGTTTCGATATTTAATTTATTATTTTATTACATTTTAATTGATTAAATGATTTAGTTGATTACATGGCTATTTGTTTATGTGTTTAAATTGAATTATTTGTTTGAATTAATTTATGTGCATAAATGTTATTTTAATTAATTATTGGTATGAATTGATTTGTTTAAATGCTAAGTGGTGATGTGTATTTATTTGTTTACATGTTATATGTTTATTTGTATTAAAATTGTTTATTTTATTTTATTTTATTTTATTTTTTAAAGGAGTGGATATGGATAGTAGTAATGGACCAACCATTTGGATCACATGGACTACTTGGATAGGGAGTTTAATGGATATGAATTTTTACCCATGGATGGTTGTATTTATATATTTATGAAAATATATATATAAGGATAGTTTTAATATTACTATTGTTATTATTATTTATATTTTTATTAATAGTAATAATATTAGTATTTTTATAGATAGTTAGAATTATATATATTATAATAAAATATTAGATATATATATATATATATATATATATATATATATATATATATATATATATATGTAACTGACTTGGTATATTAATATTTATATTTTTCTATTTTCTTTTTTTCTTTATTTTTAATTAAGGTAAGTTGGATTAGAAATAGGATTTTATATTTTATAAGTTGGAATGGGAATAGGATTTTATAGTTATCTATATATATGTATATTGGCGGTTTGTAATAGGGTTAGAAAACTCTATTCACGTACAAAATATTAGAGAGAGTTTTAGAGAGAGAAAGAAGAAGGTTTTGACAAAGAAGATGGCTAAAATAAGGAAGGAGTCTTAAGTTTTCAATCTGAAAATCATAAAGGTGAGTTCTATCTTATTCTTCTCCTTTGATTTCGTGTTCTATACACGACTAAATTAATTCCACGATGTTTAAACTGAATTAATAAACTTAATTGCATGCTAAAATCAGATTTCGGTGTAGGAATTATATGTTAATGGGCTTTTATAGTTTTTGCATGAATTGTGTTCTATGATGTTGAAATTATGTTTATGCGCTTTAATATTGTTATTGGGATACTCTAGGATGTGGATTTCAAGCTTCGAACCTTCAACAATGGAGGTTTGAAGAAGTAGATTTGTCGGAGAAGAAGAAGATGATCGACCGATTTGGGCACTGGATGGATTTTTTGAGAATTTTGCATACTGTATATGTTTGTATGTTGATGGATCTATTTTAATTGTTTTAAATTGCTTAAAATAGATTTATGGAGGATTGGTAATGATGCATGATTTATTTTAATATGTTAAAGGTAAGGGTGGCAATTCGTGTTCGTGTCGTGTCGATGTAAGAATATTATACTAAATAGGTAAACCTAAACCCAACCCATTTAATAATCATGTCAAGAATCCTCAATACTAACCCAACCTATTTATTAAACAGATAAACGTGTTAACCCATTTAATGACCTGTTTATCAAAATGAGATATTTAATATTTAATCAAATACTAAATAATAGAAAAAAAATTATCATAATTAATCAAAATATTCAAAATAAAAAGAAAAATCATAAGGCATAGACAAGGTTTATGTTGAAATGACTTAACTATCCATAATAATTGGGTTTAGACAGGTAACATATTATATAGATCATATTCACGATTATAACATGTTGAGTTAAATGGGTCGTAAATGAGTTACACAGGTTGAACCCCTCAATCCTAACTCGACACGGTTAAGTAAACAAGTTAATCGTGTCGACCCTTTTATAACCCAAACCCGTTTATGCCAAACCCAAACCCTTTTAACTTGTGACATGTTGTCTTGTCGTGTTGTAATTTGCCATTTCTAGTTAAAAGTTTGAACAATATGGAATTTAAATTGATTTACATGTCGTTAATGGAGAATATAATTGCTTAAACTTAATCTAGCAATTTCAATGATGTGTATATGATTTTAATCATGTGTTATTAGTATAATATGATCATGTAATTAACTGATTTTGATTATACTTAATTCTGAATTTATTTTGGTGTATAATTATATATGTTGCATCAATTATGGATTTTATGGATTTATGCACCATTGTCAAAATATGGGGGCATGTTAGGGACGAATTAACTAAAATACGTTAAGTCCTACCTATTTCATGTCAAGCCACGAAACCAGTTCGATGACATGCCAATGAAATAATATGGTTGGATAGTTTATTTTATGTTAGATAGGATGAATTTTATATATGTATAGATATGTGCTATGATATGAGCTTAAGTCTCAAGATCAGTAGTTAGGGAGCATATATGCCTAGGATGCATAACTGGATATAATGGATAGTTATATGCCCTAGTAGGTCTAGGTATTCGTGTCCACTTTATGTGCATTTTACATGTTGCCTACTATTCAGGTTGAGGCCGCCTTATAGTCCAGTGAGAGTCCTTTAGTGTGTGTGTGTGTGTGTGTGTGTGTGTGTGTGGACTTGTCATGCCCCAAATTTTCTAACAAAATCCTCGATTTATTCAAATCTAAATACATCAAAATACACACAGGAACAAAAAAAAAAAAAAAAAAAACTAACCTCTTTTATACAAAGTCAATTTCCTCAAATATACAAAAAAAAAACTCCAAATAAATAAAATAAAATCTTGCAACGCCGACTCTTCAGCCTAAGCTCGAATCTAGCAATCTCAGTACCTGAAACTAGAGGGTGGTGAGACAAAAGTCCTAGTAGGAAAAACCATAACAAGAATTTCATGGAGGTTTAATAAAATAGCTTCACAAATAAATATATTCAGGTGAATATATAAACAAAATACGTATGCATTTAAATAAAACATGTAATAAAAACCATTTGAAGCAAAATCACTCCAAGCCATTCAAGGTATAGAGAACCCTACACTGAAAAAAAATTTCCTCACTGCATCATCAACTCCTCAAATCCTGGCCTCCTCTGCAACTCTCGACTCTCTCTGCTCACTCATCTTTCTCGGCTCACTCTATGTGTTTCTCCAATTTTTCCCTCACTTTAAACTCTTCTATGCATACTAAGTTAGTGTCACACAATCCTCAAATATATAGACAATTCCACAGACTTAAAAAAAATCAGCCAACAAAACCACGTGCAAAAAGCTAAGCAAAGTCCAAGTGGGTCCCAACATCATTACAATTCTTTCTCCTCTCTTTCAATTTCAGCAGACCACCTTTTTCCTTCCCCATCATTTCTTATCACCTTATTTCCTTGACAACTAAAACTACACCAGCCACGTGTGACAATTAAAACTACACCAGCCTAATGCATGCACACAAAAGTCAACAATTCCAAACCATTACTCCATCTCATGTGGGCCCGCCAAGACATCATTACAAGCTTCATCATTTCCCACTTTCGGCTGCCTCATTTATAACTCAACAAACATTACACACACACACACACACACACATATATATATATATCCATAGTATATATAAATATATAACAAAACCAAATCCCATTAATAATTCTTGTGGGACCCGCGTCAATATCATCACCATTTCTAATTTTCTTTCTCTTCTTTCGGCACCTTCTCCCTTTTTCATCTGATTACACACACACACACACACACACACATATATATATGTAAAATAACTATTACTACACCTCCACTGAACTGAACTCAAAAATTAAAATTATAAATAATAATAAAATAAAATTTTAAATTAAAATCTAAAAAAAAAAAATCTAGGTTATCACAATCTCCACCACTTAAAAGAATTTTGTCCCCGGAATTCAGATCCAACA